CTTGCTATAACTACACACGCTGTACCTTATAGTATTTCCATTTAAAAGAAGAGATCTAGCACCTATCTCTAGCTACCCTACCTCAGATCTCAATAAAGTACAAAAACCTACTCTGCCCAAAAGTTTCTAAGGCCTGACAACCTGTCCTAAATCATATCACCAGTTGGGGAATACACAATCACATGAGCCTCTCCCCAGAGGCTTTAACTCAAGCTTTAACATTATGTGAGTTTTCTGTGTGGTGAATAAAGAGACCCTTTTACCTTGTTCAGGAAACTCTACCTGCAAGGTGAAGATGGATCTGTGGTACACTGGGCACAGAAGTCTGGTCTTTCCTTTAGCATCTGGAACATTCACTGCTGGTTGGAGACACAATCTCCAGTCTGCCTTGGCAATGAAGTTTTTCCCTTTAGCTGCCAAGCTGAGGCCCTTTCTAATTTAGTGCTGTTGCTGCCCTCTGCTGCTTCCATTGAGAATTACATGAAGCTGGATTCCTGGGGCTGCCAGCAAAGATAAAATCCTACCTTTGTGGAGGGGTTCCTTGCTGGGCATGCACTTTGCTCAAGATTTATTAAGCATCCTAGTGTGGTGATACTCTATTTATGATCCTACAAATAAAGCTTGCTCTAAGATCAGAGTGCAAAGATAGCCCCCACTAGTTAGCCATAGAGGCCAGGCAGTGGCGGCACATACCTTTAATCCCAGCATTCAGGAGACAGGCAGACCAATCTCTGTTAGTTCAAGGCCACTCTGAACTAACTCCACGAAATTGATCCAGTCTAAAAGAGAAACAGAGCTCTCGCAAAGGTGATCTCAGCACTTGGGGTTCCACGCCTTTAATCCCAGCACTAGAGAGGAATATAAGGCGGGAGGAAACAGGAGCAGTGCAGTCCGGAGATGCAGCCTGAGGACAGGATCGCCCCTTTGGTCTGAGCATTGGCAGAGGTGAGAACTCTTTAGTGACTGGCCGTTTTGCTTTTCTGATCTTCAGCTTTAACCCCAATATCTGTCTCTGGGTTTTTATTATTAATACCAAGCAGAATTCATGCTACACCCCAGATGTCACTTTTTCCTTTCACAGCACTTTCATGCCTCGGCTCTTCACTTTGATGTGGGCATACAATCCACAGCTGCTTCTGGGCACTGCTATCACCTTCAGCTCGGCCTACCGACAACTGAAAACATGGTCGTCTCAAAGCTGCTCTTTATTTTCTCCCTTTGTTTGTCCCTCATGACACGCCCAGGCTGGAATGGAGTCTCAAATATGCTGTGACTTCTACTTCATACACACATGTCCAAGTTGTCGTTTCCTGCCTTTATGATTTAGTGAATACTTTAAAAGGGGGGCACTGGAGGACTGAACCCAGGCTCTTTTGAATACTAAGCATGTATCTTAGTTAGGGTTTCTATTGCTGCAAATGAAAGGCTATGACCAAAAAGGAAGTTGGGGACCCGGTGGTGGTGGCACACACTTTGAATCCCAGCACTCAGGAGGCAGAGGCAGGAGCCGACACAGAAGCCATGGTGGGGTGCTGCTTACTGGCTTGCTCCCCACTGCTTGCTCAGCCTGCTTTCTTATGGAAGCCCAGACCACCATTCCAGGGATATACTCGCCCAAAATGGGCCAGACTTTCCCCTATTAATCATCAATACAGTGGGATCGTGCAGCGCATTTTCTCAGTTGAGGGTCCTTCCCTCAAGTCTAGCTTGTGTCAAGTTAACTTAAGACTACTCAGCACAGCATGTGATTTCAACGCTGAGCTGCCCTTACTCACAGCCTCACTATCCTTTACTATCCCAGTCATGGCTTTTTCACTAGTACTTTCCCCATCACTCAGGGAGACAGCCTCACTGCAGCTATGTTAGTCCCTTGTCTTGCTGCTGTGATAAAAATACCTCACAAGAAGAAGAGCTTGTCGTGGCTTACAATTCGAGGGCAGATATAGCCCATCACCATAGGAGAAGCAAAAAGCAGAGTGTAAACAGAAACTCAATGCTTCCCCCAGTGACCTACACTCTTCAGCAACAATCCACCTTTTAAAGGTTCCACAACCTTCCCAAATGGCAGCAAGAGGACCAAACATTCAAATTCAAGATTTAAACTGCAGCGTTGACCTGGGACACAGGCTCATGGAGTGGGCCACTTAAAGTTAAGAGAAGTCTTCCTGCCTCAGTTAACCTAATCTAGAAACTCCTACAGATAGGGTCAGGGGTTCGTCTCCTAGGTGATCTAGGCCCTGTTAAGTAGACAATATTAGCTATCATGATGTGTCTAAAATCCATAGTTTGGGCCAGGCACACAGGATCACAGGCACTGAGAAAGTCCCTTAGAGAACAACAGTTCCATGCCCAGAATTTCCATATTTACAGTGACAAGCTGGTTCTTGTACAGTTTGTGAAGATGTATTGCTATGATTGGTGTCATTAAAAGCTGAATAGCCAACAGTGAGGCAGGACAGGACAGACAGGACTTCTGGACACAGTGAACTCTGGGAAGAAGAAAGGCATGGTTGCCAGTCAGACTCGGAGGAAGCAGGATGGGTAGTATTGAGATAAGGTGATGAACCCCGTGGAAGAATGTAGGTTTAAAAATATGGGTTAATTTAACTTATAAGAACTAGATAGGGGAGTCGGGGAGATGGTTCAGCAGGTAAGATCATTGGCTGTTCTTCCAGAGAGAGGACCCAGGTTCAATGCCCAGCACCCCCATGACAGCTCACAACTGCCTGTAACTCCAGTTCTAGGGGATCCAACACCCTCATACAGACATACATGTAGGCAAAAAAGGGGGGGACCGCACGAATGCACATGAAATAAAAATGAATACAATTTAAAAAGGAACTAGAGAGCCTAAGCTAAGGTAAGCTTTCATAATTAATAACAAGTCTCCATGTCATTATTTTGGGGCCAGCAGTATCATTGTTTGCAGGCTGGAGGTCCCAACCAGAAAGTGCTGCTACAGCTTCTGCCTGTTTGACTGGGGTAAGCTTTGTGATCATCCAGGATCTGCTGTCTTCTGATGGTGGGTGATGAGTTTACATAGTCACTAAGTGTGTTGTCATTTGTTAGTGCAACAAGGACATGGGATAAACGGACTTCTTGAAAAAAGGCTTGTTCTAGCTTACCCTCAGTAACCTAAAGCCTCCTGCTAGGTCCAGTCTTTAAATGTTTCCAGCACTTTTCAATAGCACCGAGTAGGGAACCAAACCTTTAACACATCAATCTCTAGAGAACAGCCTTAGTTTAAACTATAAGAGAAATCCTTGTAGTTTGATAATATTTTATTATTAGCTGCTCCTCAAAAAGTGTTTTTATTCCAATCAAATTACACAAACTGTATTGCCTGTCTGCTTTACTTGTCACGGCATTAAAATATTGTGTGTTCCTTTCATATGTCATGACATTTGCTGTTCTAGTTCTACAGCTTCCCTAATGACATCTTACCCATAAACACAGGCTTAGATGAGGCAGAGGCAGGCAGATCTCTGTGAGTTCAAGGCCAGTTTGGCCTTTAGAGAAAGTTCTAGGACAGCCAGAACTACACGTAGAAACTTCCGTCTCCAAGAAACAAAACTCCCTATAGGTTTAGATGAATACAGACCAAGTAAGCCATAAAGGGCTGCTTAAGCTTGCGCTGTAGCAGGAGTAAGATGCCTAGCAATGACTTTGAACAGCCCATGGCCCAAATATACGTTAATAAAGAGGGGCCGCCCATTCATTGTGTAGGATTCCTTTCAGTCACCAAGTATCCGCAGTAAGCACTTACAGTGTGCCAGCCACTGTTCACAGGACGTTGTTAGCAAAGCATAGACTGCTGACCTTGTGGAACTGTTATTCTGATGGGAGGATGCACCCTAATACATTAAATAGTGTCTGGAGATAATGAGAGCCGTGGGGCAAAACTCAGACGAGGGTACAGGAGGCTGGGGACTAAAGGGTAAAGATGACTGAGTTTAGGGAGTGGCCTCAGGGTGGGGACAGCCAAACAGGACCGAGGCAGCTGGGTATGGTGGCACATGGCTTTAATCCCAGCCAGGCGTATCTCTGTGAGTTCGAGGCCAGCAGGGTCTACAAAGGGAGTTCCAGCACAGCCAGGGCTACACAGAGAAATCCTGTCTCAGAAAACCAAAAAAGGCGGAGGTGATGAGCTAGATCTAGAAGGCCCTAAAGCAGGATGACTAGTGATAAGATGGAGCCTGGAGGACAAACCAGGAAAAGATTCAGACGCCACTGCGAGAGTTCCTGTGTTTGAGTAAAGGGTGGAGGAGCGGTGATACGAGGCATTTTTGAAAGGTCATCTTGCAAAAACAGAATACAGCCTTAACGTCCATCTCCCCTAGGAGCTTCCAAACACTCACTCCATCAGCTCATCAAAGGGACAGCAGTGGTAGGCAGTCAACTCTTATTTTGCGGCCACCAGATGCCACGCCTCTCAGTAATCTTTCCAACACTCCTCTGCCGACTGCATCACTAACAGCTCTGTGTCGGAGGTAAGGAAAAGGGGACGGCACACGTTGTGACTTGCTCCAGGTGTTGCCTGGTGTCCATGGAAGCTAGAGGGCCCTTCATCCTCTGCAACTAGAGTAACGGATGGTTGTGAGCATCCGTGTGGGTGCTAGGAATTGAACCAAGGAAGAACATCTCTCCAACTCTCATTGCTGTCAATAAACAAGGGTTTATCGCCGGTTCTCCACCCAGCCAAGAAGAAGAAACCTCTGAGAGATACCGCTCCCCACCTGACAGGACCCCTGCGGCCTGAGAAGGAAGAGCACCGTAAGCAAGCATGGTCGAACAGAGGAGAGACGATCGCTAGAGCCCTCGGCAGCAAGAGTAAATGCCTGAGGGTGAGAGGGGCAGACGTTGAAGCCAAGAGCGTACAGGAACTCGGTCCGCTACTACGGCTCAGATCGTGCGGGCTTCACCGCTCCAGTACCCGGATGTGGGCGTACTTCCCACAGACGCCCTCTGCGCACGCGCACTCGGTGCGACGTCATGTCCGGCGGCGGGACTCAGCGGCGGACGGGAAGGCCGGAGCCGGTGTGGGTGTCCCGCGGCGTCGCTCCCCTCGCTCGCTGCGCCCCTGCGCTTGTGGTTCCGCCTGCCTGCTTGTGGCTCAGCGCGCCCGGCCTGCTCTCCGCTGCCTCCCCGGATCTCTTAGTCTGAACCCGGGTGTGTTTGCACTACTAGAGGTGAAGCGTACAAAGCCGGGAGAGCGGGGTCTGGGGCTTCACCGGGTGCCGGCACCTTAACCCGCAGGTGGAGGCACCTGGGCAGAAATTGGCAGTATGTCCTTCTGGGCGACGCCTTTGCTGTCACAGTGCAGTCTCAGAAAAGCTGTCCTGAAACAACAGGGGCCAGGATGCCTTAAAAAAAATGCAGAGTTTGCATTTTAATGCTTTGGATTTTTAAAAACAACTATCAAGAGAGCGCGGAAACTCTTTAAAAGCAGTTCTAAATTGCTTTTTCAAAAATGAATTGTAATCTTTCCGCAGCCTGTTCAGACGACTACCTTCCCGACCCAAAGAAGAAATCCATCCTCCCCTGGTCACTGGGGACATCTCGGGACATTTAAGTAGCTGAGGACTTTATTCTTTGGAAGAGAGTTTGTATCTTTAGTGCCTGACTCACTAACCTAGTTCGACCTTTTCTTGGTTTGCCATCAATATCACGAAGACTGTTCTGAAGGAATGATGGGCCTCTGAGATGATTTAAATGCTCACACCGGGTTTTCTGCCTTAAATTGACCGAAGTGTCACTTGTCATCTGTCTGCATTTCTAACCGACTTCTGGTTATACTTTAGTGCAGTTTATCTATTGTAGATTTTGAATTTTGATAATTACGTTTGACAGAATTGTGTTTACAGTAGAAGAAAATAAGGGCAATGGCAGATTTAAAAAAAATTTCCAAAATGCCCATTTTAGAAAACACAGCTGAGCAAAACAAAGAAAATGAAAGTGACTAGACTCCTACCTGAAGACAACTGTTGCTCATATTTTGAATGTCCTCTTATTTAAAAAAAATGCTTATCTTGGCCAAGAGTGGTGTCCCACACCTCTTATCTCAGAACTCAGGAGGCACAGGTACAGATCTGAGTTTGAGGCCAGCCTGAGCTACTTAATGAAATCCTAGTTGTGAAACTGGGTGCAGAATCAGAGTACATACCCTTGGCTAGCCCCTTTACATAACATATCCTGCCTGTTTTTCCACTCATCTTTTCTGTTCACAAGTTTATAATGACTACAAGATATTCCATTGTGTTAAGGGCTCTCCTAAGTAAAGAATGAACCCCAGTGCCTACATTCTATGCCATCTGTGTTAATAGCTTGGAGGACAGTTGACTCATATTTTGTTTTTGACCAAGATGCATAATAAAGATTTGATTAGAGTTGTGTGAATTCAAAGATTTAATGCTCCTTGCTTAGGGGCAGGCAATGTTTCATATTTGATTTATTAAGAAGGCAGATAAAATTATTTAATGTCTTCCCGATCTTATTTTTGGTTTTAGGCACGCTAAAAAAATCCCTCTAAGAATGAAATATGACTGATGACTCTCAGAGAAACTTTCGCTCAGTCTACTATGAGAAAGTTGGGTTTCGTGGAGTTGAAGAAAAGAAATCACTGGAAATCCTCCTGAAAGATGACCCTTTGGGTGAGTCCTATCTGCTCAAACTTGTTGGTTCTCAGTCCTTGGGTGTTACTAGTAAATATTACCTTAATGGACCAAAAGCAGTACTGATTACTTGCTATACTTTTTGGTGAAGGGACATGTCAAAGTGGTCTAATTTGAGAAAAGTTAAAGATTTTTCAAATTCACTGAGAAACAAAAGGTTTTGCAAAGCTTCTTAAACGCTTGACTGCTGAGTGTAGTGGTGCAAAAATTTGATGGCAGCACTCAAGAGGCAAAGGCAGATGAATCTATGAGTTCAAGGGCATCCTGGTGTGCATGAAAAGTTCCAGGGCAGCCCGGGGATACATAGTAAGACACTTCCATTTTTTTTTTTTGAGTTTTTCGAGACAGGGTTTCTCGGTGGCTTTGGAGGCTGTCCTGGAACTCGCTTGGTAGTCCAGGCTGGCCTTGAACTCACAGAGATCCGCCTGCCTCTGCCTCCCGAGTGCTGGGATTAAAGGCGTGCACCACCAACGCCCGGCTGACACTTCCACTTTTAAAAAGAAGTCAGTACTATCTTTTTAATTAAGCCTGTATATTTCCTTCAATTTCTAGATGTACTACCATGGTTTCTGGGTAAACTCTGTAAGAGCTCCAGTTATAATTTTCTTTTGTGGAAGATAATCCTTCATTACACATCTATTGTTTATCTTAAGCCAACAATAAAAAAGTCTATTGCTACAGATAGTAAAATAGAACCATAGTATAAGAAATGAGCTAAAGTTGTGTAAAGTGCTTGCTGTTGTCAGAGCTCGGACTGGAACCCAGGATCTAGCACATGCTAAGATATGCTCTACCACTGAGTAACACTCAGTTACCACTGAGTAACACTGTACCACACCCAATTCTGTATTAAGTAAGTCATGCTAATATTAGAGGGAGTGGAGTAAAATATGCAAATGTACATTTCTGTGCTGCAAAGGCGCTGCTTTAGATAGCTTAGTTGGTAGAGATGTGTGAGATCACTGTGGCCTTTCCTAAGTTTGCTGGGCATGCAGTGGATTTCTTCTGAAGGCATGTCTGAAGTAGACTTTCAGTTTGAAGAAGTGAAACTGCACTTCCAGATACTGTGAGCCCATGTGACATTTCTAATTGTTCTTTTTCTTCCTTTAGACATTGAGAAGCTTTGCACCTTCAGCCAGAGGTTCCCTCTCCCGTCCATGTACCGTGCATTGGTATGGAAGGTGCTTCTAGGTATGAGACCCAGGAGTCAGGGGGGATTTAATTTTAAAAGTATTGAATGGGATCCTTTGTCATCTTACAGTCAGAAGAGGAGGGTTTGCTTAGATTCTTTGCTGACTTTTGGATCTTCTCCAGGAGGGCCAATTACTGCTCGTTTTTAAAGCTTTTAGGATCGTGTCTTCAGCAGAATTAGACTAACAATTACTCTTGGAGTATCTGCTTATTAGTGGCAGTAGAGAAGATAATATTCATTCCTGAAATAAAGCGTTTGTCCACTTGGTGTCTGGTGGGTATCTGTGGTCATCATCTGCAAAAGTGATGACACTGAGCTGTGAGAGAGGAGAACTGGCCACCTTTGCTGTCATCTGGGTAACCAGGAGAGAGACCATGGTGGGTTCCAGGTTCCCATCTGTCCAGAGACATCTTGGGCTAAATTACTTTTAGGTTTTACTTAAGAGTGCATTGTACCCTGGACTGTCAGTGGTAGGGATATGAGGTCCTGATGCTAAGGAACTGGCCAGGCTTAGTGGCAAATCTCTGGATCCCTAACCCTTTGAGGGTCTTTTAGAGCTTGAGGCCTGGGCTGAACTGTCAATCTCAGGAAAGTTTTAGCCACAAAAGGGGACACCCCTGTCCCCACAAGAGGAACCATATTGACAAAGGATTGAAGAATATGATTCCTTTGAGTACATCTGAGTGTAGAGAGTGACTTGGTCAAAGAGTAAGTATAGAACAGCTGGTGTTCTGTTCTCATAGACTCCAGTGTTTATTCATTAACTAATTGGCCCAGTCTCTTACTGAGGTACATAAATTCCCATTTATACTTTGAAATAAAAGTGGTATGACAGACTTTTTTAAAGGAGGAATCAGAGTTTTTTTCTGCTTAGAAGTGTGAGTGAATTCCAGAGCTGGATGGCCAAGTAAGAGGGGTAACTGGCTTGGTGTCTGCCGTAAGCAGCTCACAGCATCTTTTTGAGCCCAGGCTTTTCCCCATCATCGCTGAGCCTGCTGGAACATCTAGTCCCCATTCACTGTCACCTTCCATTTCCTCCTTAAACAGCTGGGTTTACCAACTGGAAGGGGAGTAAGGATGGAGCTTTATGAGGGATACGAACTATCGCTATTTATTGGGCATCAGTGGGCTCCATCACTAGGTTAAATAGTTTACATAAATTATGTACAGTAATTCTAGAATTCTGAGGGAAGTCTTAACTATCCTAGATGGACACAGTTCCTAGGAGCCTTAAACCCTTCCCTAAGGTCTGTGACAGACAAAGAATCAAAGCCTGTGTTTATAGAGCTCGTTTGAAGGATAGGGCTGGGGGTGGGGTTAGATAACAGACCACATGCTCCTGAGAAATCTCCATCCCTCAGTCTGGCCATGCAATATGGAGGTCACAAGGCAATGCAAGACATTCTAGAAAGCACTGCAGATGGCTTTGTTGAGCATCTTGGCAACTTTGGTGTACTCATTCGTGTCTGGTTGGGTATGTGTGGTGACCATCTACAGAATGATAACTGTTTAAGTTTTCTTCAGAGCATTTTTCCTTGAATTTTACATAAAGACTCTGTAGTCATCAAAATAAATTCCTCCTAAGGGTGCATTTTAGGCAGTTATCATCAGAGTCCATTTCTTCTGGGATGCCTTGTGTGTCTTATTAATGGGAAATGTTATGCTGTGTCTGTGACATTTCCTGTGTGTCAACTGGCCTTTTTTAACCTTGGTTTTTCTTACCTCCTTTATCATCCAAGCCACTGTTGTTTTTCTGCCATAGTTAGAGGCACTGGAAATGCAAGAGTTGCCACAGTATAAAGGACTCTTCGTGGCCCTAGCTTGGTTGCTTTGGGCTCTGTGGTTGCTTCTTCCCTTGTGCCATTTTAGGGAAGTGTCAGAGAGAGCTTTGGGATGAACTCTTAGGCCCAGGTTTGGTATTGATATTCTGCTGCCTATGGTAGGTTCAACTCTAGCTCTGTAGTCTGTACGGGCCAAATGTGGAGGACATTGATGTGTTTGTTCCTTGACTTCTCTGAGAACCTGGCACAGTGTCCCGAAGACACACCGAGTTTACATCACGAAAGGACACTCAAGCATGTATTATGGCTGGAGATTGTTGAGTTTGTCTAACTGCTATTCCTGGAACATTCTTTAGAATAATTGGTCTGTGGGGTTTTGCATCAAAAAGGATTCACAATCAAATGAACTTCCTGACACATGTGTGCCCATTACTCTTTTGGGTGCTTTATGAATTTGTCTCTGCATCACAACAGCTTGTAGATTTAGGTAATATCAAGATGAGGCACAGAAAACAGAGAGAATTGCTGAATATTGTTAGGTCAGTAAACACAGAAATCTTGACCCCAGAGTCTCTGACTCGGTACAGCCGCATAATGTAATGTAAATTTATTCCAGTCCCATTTACGTTAATGGGACTGGAATAAATAAAGTGGAAAAATAGTTTCTACAAAAACTGAGCCTTAACAATGTGACGTTACCATCCTGCCAGTGCTTGAGGCTCTGGTTCTTCAGAAAACATTTGGTATCGGGTTTGTCTGTCCCACTTCCTGCCTCTGCTAGATGAGGACACAGATGCCCACATTTGTGATAGACCGAGACACTGGCGAGAGTCCTGGTATTGGCAGATCTGAGACTGGAGCCAAGCGTCATTGAAGTCCTGGCCGGTAGTCTCCCATTGTTTTCACTGTGCTGTTTGCTTATTAAAAAAAATAAAGAGGGACATTGATGAGATGACTCAGTGAGTAGTGAACGTGCTTGCTGAGCAAGCTTGGCAGCCTGAGTTCATTATCCAGAACCTCCCGTGTAAAGGTAGAGGGAGAGTTAACTCCACAAAGTCTTCCCCCTTCACACGCATGCACACAAACACAGTTTCCTTCTAAAGCCCAAGGAGCAGGCAGCACAGGTAAGTAATGACCGCAGAGTGTCACAGAAATGTAAGATGACCTTACTGATGAAGACCATAGGCTTCTTTTGCCTCCGTGATAGGATTCTGTGGATATGTTTTATCTATTGAGGGAGAAAAGGATTAGACAAACTGTTCTGAGATGTAGGAGGCCAAGTGGCAGAATTGGGGAGAGGTCCCAGGAGCTAAAGGTACCCTCAGCTGCTAGCCACAAACCGAGTTAAACTATTATTACAATTGATGTGGTTATTGTCCTAAAATTAGGTCACTTATTTGTTTGAAGACTTTTGTGGTACCATCTCATTTCTCTCTAATGTCAATGACGCACCATCTCGCAAAGCTTTTAACATTTAAGAGTTAGCGTGAGACGTTCTGAAAGGGAATCTCCGTGCTCATTATTATGTGAATCTCGGCTGTGTGGGCTGCTCTTCACAGGACTCTTCGATAGAGGAGGGCTGTGGGTGGGTGTCTCAGCATTTGCCCTTTTCCTGTCCCATTTCTCTGTGTAGGGATATTGCCTCCACACCATGACTCTCATGCCCAGGTGATGGCCTATCGCAAAGATCAGTACTCTGATGTCCTTCATGCCCTGACAGTAATCCGCTTCATCAGTGACACCACGCCTCAGGCTGAAGTGTTTCTTCGCATGTATCAGCTTGAGTCTGGGAAGTTGCCTCGAAGTCCCTCTTTTCCGCTGGTGAGTGCTCATTCTCACTTGACATTTAATTCAAGCCTTTTTCTAAAAATTACTTTTTTCTTTGTCTGTTAATGTGTCTGCATTAGGTCCTCACAAATGCTAGGAGCACTCTACCAGTGAACCATACCTCTCAGTCTCTAGTCTTGCTAGCCTCCATTGTATAATGTTTTGTCTTAGAAATTTTCAGTGGTTTCCTATTGTCAATATGAAAAATGAAAGCAATAGTTTTACCTGGGATCTATGGTCCTGAATGATCAATATTAGTTATTTTTAAAAATGTGTTTTGTTTTAGGCACAGTCACACATTGCTTAATGATGAATATATATTCTGAGAAATGTGTTACTGGGTGTTTGCTCGTTTGCAAACATTGTGTATTTATATTTGCTCAAACTCAGATGACTGTGACGTTACTAGGCAGTTTAATCATAGAGGATCACTATACTAGACTAGGTCCATGGCTGACTAAAATATTAGTATGGGATGCACGACTATAATCTCAAACTTGAAGAAAGGGCACAAAAATATTACCAAGAATTTCCATATCTTTTGTTTACTGACATTTCCAGTTGTTAACATTTAATGACATCTGCTTTGCCACTCTTTCCTACTTGTGGACTTCCCTCCCTCCCTCCCTCCCTCCCTCCCTCCCTCCCTCCCTCCCTCCTCTAAAAAGTTATCTTATTTCAGGTGTATGGATGTTTTGCCTACTTGTATGTCTGTGCCCCACTTAAATGCCATTGGATTTCCTTGAACTGGAGTTGCAAATGGTTGTGAGCAATGACGTGGCTGCTGGGAACCAAACCCTTGTCCCCTGGAAGAGCAGCCAGTGCCATCTATCCAACCTCACTTTTGTGTTGTTTTGAGACAAAGTCTCCCTATGTATGCTGCACAGGCCAGCTTCCAACTCAATATCCTCCTGCCTCTGCCACATGAATGCTGGGATTATAGGCGTGCACCACAATTTCTGGCTATGCACACATACTTCTTTGAATAAGCCATGAGAGAGAAAGAGTTAGTTGTGATGTTCTTTTCTTTCAGCTCCTTCACTGTGTTCCTTGTGGAGAATAGGCAATCTATAGGCAAGCATGACACAATTACGAAGTCAGGGAGGTTTACAAGCTGGTTTCAGTCTGGTTTACAAGCTCATTCTTTATTTCCCCGTTGTTCTAGGGATGCCCTTCATCACAAATAAAATGTCTAGTGGGAGATTCAATTTTAGATTGTGGATTGCACTGAGTTGCTCTGTTGCTGTGGACACCTTTGACTTTGAACTGGTCCTCCGTCTTTCTCTTTTATGCCCTTGACACTCTTGACAGGTGTTGGTCAGTAATTTTATAGAAAGTCCCTTACTTCAGGTCTGCTGGTGCTCCCTCCTGGTGTGATACAGACTGTTCTTTTTGGCAGGGACACCCATGGTGATGCATCCCCAGAGTACTGTGTCAGGAGGCTCACTTGGCTTTGCCTCATGGAACACCATTAACTTTGGTCCATTGGTAAGGTAGTGCCTACTAGGTTTCCACTGGGAAGTTATTCTTTCTTCCTTTGTAATCACTACTTCCCTTTGTGGGGGAGACATTTGAAACTTCTACGTAATTATCCTCTTCCTTATTAAAGTTTGGCTCATACATTGGACTATTCATTGATATACATATATATCTTTCATCTTTAAGTAATTATTGACATAGAAGACAGTTATAAAATAGTACACCTGTACCTAGCATCCTCATATTCAGTGAGATGATGATAACTTACAAATCAGCTTTGACACCAGGCTAGAAGCTAAGCTCTACACATTTGTGAGATCTTTCTGCTTGTCCCCTGATGCCCCTCTGACCTTGGACCCAGTCTTGGATCAACATTGCACTTGGTTGTCATTCTTGGTCCTAAACCCTCTGGTCTTCAGGCTTCCTTGCTCTTCTGTGACCTTGACACTCTTGAAGAGTGTGGGTCTCTTAGGGATTTCTCCATTTGCCTGATATTTCCTTATAACTAGAACCTTGTTATGCTTTATTGGCAAGGATAGCAAGAGAAGTACTGGTAATGTTGATTGCTTGGCACAGGGGCTGCCTGCCAGGTCCCTTCCCTGTAAGCTTACTCTTTGTAGTTAGTGAGTAACTTGAGGCTTTTCTCATATATGTGTGTGTGTGTGTGTATATATATATATATATATATATATATAGTATGTGTATATATGAGTGCATGATATATGTACATATATACAACATACATATACATATATGTATATACACACACGCACACGCGCGCGTGCGTGCCCTCGCACACACGTATATGTTAGACAGATTCTCACTGTGTAACCTGGCTGGATGGCCACTCGTGGTATAAACCAGGCTGATCTAGTCTCGAACTCACAAAGCTCTACCTGCCTCTGCCTCATGAGTGTTGGGGTTAAAAGATGTGTGCCACCTGCATGGGATTTGGGGGCTTGTAAATAGCCACCTTATCATAATCCTCATCACCATTGCCTAAAATATTTTTACTGTTCTGATTGCCAAATGGTGATTCTCTAATTCCTGGATTATTTCTGTATCTGTTAGTTAGCCTTTGAGTTTATTTATTGATGTCATTGTGGGTGTATGGAGTCCTTTTAACTTAATGGCCTATAATATCTTACTGCCATTTTTTTCTTTTGATGTTCAAAATGCCCAGCTTCGGCCTGTAGGAACCCCTTCATCTGATGCCTTTGTCTGATACTTCCACTGTTTTGAATGTTTCTTGACATTTTGTTACAAAAAGATGCTCCAGCACTGGCCTGAGTCTTTGTTTCTCGTCTCCTGGGCTGTTTGCTTGTAGGCTCACTGAGTAGACATAAGTAGAATATGTGTGTGTGTATATGTATGTATGTATGTATGTGTTCATACATTCCAAGTTGTTTCTCATTCTCTCTCTATATGTATATGTGAAAAAAACAAATGTTGTGCTACTGGGCATGGAACCCAGAGCATATGGCTGCCAGACAAGTGCACTACTGCTGAGTCATACCCCAGCCTTTATATATTAATGTATGTCTCTAAATTATAATAAAAATCCTGGGTTCACAATGATAAGTCTAATTCCAATCTAATATTACAGGTTCATTTTAGCTTTCCCTGTGACAGTTGCAGATATTACAAAGTTCCCATTATCCTGACGTATTTGCCTCTGGCTCATTTTCCAACCAATGTTGTCAGCCACTCCTGGCTACTTTATTGCAGTTGTCTAGGTATTTTAATGAAGATTTTATTTATTTGGTTAAAACAGAATGAATTCTCAAGCAAGGATTTGCATGCAAGCTTTGATTATCTACAAAATTTGTTTTTAATGAAGATTGGGCTGTGAACCAGGTGTGGCATCAGCTGCCTCTAATCCACTCCTCCAAGGCTGAGAGAGGAGTAGCTTGAGTTGGAGACCAGCTACATAGTGAGACTTTGCTTCAACAATAACTGACTTATTTTATATGTGGCTTATTATGTATATTACATATGTAGGAAGTAGGAATTTAATAATAGAGTTCCTGTGACAAATTAGCACTAATAAAGGTCATCCATTCACTCTTATTGTTACATTTATGAAGAGGCAGAGGAGTCCCAAATGTTAAGTGTCATTTAGGACAGTCTCTCAGTCTCGTTTTTCTATTACTCAGCATCAGCACTGTGGCATTGATAGTGCCATGTGAGCTCCGTGGTTCTGGGACTGAATCTGTGGCCTCTTAGGTGGAAGGCAAGTGCTCTACCACTGGGCTACATCCCCAGCCCCTGGCATCCTTTATTTTACCTTTCACTAAGCTGCCCAATTGCAGTCCTCAGTTAGCTCACTGAGTGGCTGAGAGGGCTATGAGTTCTTGAATTACCCATCAAATAAGGTTAGCTATTCTGTTAGTGCAAGCGATCTAAATTATAGGTATTGTTCCTACTCATCCCTACTCATTGGTCCTCCACACTCTGAGCCCAGGCACCTTCCCTGCGGTCTCAAGTGCACTTGCTGTGTGAACGTGGTGACCTCTGTCTCCCCACCTTTCCCAGCCCCTCTTACACTCTTACCTGCTCGTAGGAGCACACGAGTGCACAGCGGGAGCACAGTTGGGTGAAGGACATTAGTCTCCCCTTGACCTGTCAGAGTGGTGGGGAGCAACCAGTGACATGTCATCTCCAGGGTCACCCAGGCCAGGCCTGGAGCTGTGGAGTCCCTGGGGATCCTTTCCTTTCTCCTTTGTGACTTCTGCTACTCCAGTAATGTTTAGAGAAATACATTTCCTTTCATTCTGACTCTATGACTCCTTGCATTTCGTGGATATCAACAAGCTGAAATAAAAAGCCTGCAACTGAACTGCTTTTTATTAAGACAGGAATTTTGATTTAACTTGGGACTTCTCAGGGGAATAGAAAGGTATTTCTTAATTTCCTTTTAATCTTAAAAATATGAAACCATGGAAGCCTAGATGAAAACGTAAGTTTTTTTGTTTTTTGTTTTTTTTTGAGACAAGGTTTCTCTATGTAGCCCTGGCTGTCCTGGAACTCACTTTGTAGACCAGGCTGGCCTTGAACACACAGAGATCTGCTTGCCTCTGCCTCCTGCTAGTGTGTGTGTGTGTGTGTGTGTGTGTGTGTGTGTGTGTTTGGTTGGTTTTTAGTGTTGATGGCAATGTTTGAAAACAAAGTAACTTTCCAAATAAGGGTTTCAGTTTTGTAAGATTCCTCTGTTGGAAATTACTTGAGAGTTTATTTTCATGTATGAATATTAACAGATCTGAGAAATGTCATTCTTCTGCTTCCTAAAATTCTGATTCTGGGCTTTTTAAACTTTTAGGTAGAACAGCATTTTAAAGCTGTGCATGGAAGCTTTGACATAAATCAGACGTTTTGTGAGCCCACGGAGTTCCCCAGTATTCACACTGACACATATTCCAAAATGGTTTGTGTTATCACATCCCTTTGGAGGAACCCTGATCTAGCGTGGAGACTGGCTGGGTGGAGGGGGACCCTGCTTTTGCCTGTACTTGCAGCAGACCCCGCCCACCGGCTGTTGTTCAGCCATGCTGACTCCATGGCTCCCTGTAGCTGCCCATCTTTTCCTTCCCTTGTTCTCTTTCTTTCCGACATACTCTGTCTTCTGATGCCTGTGTGATTTATTAATGTGTCCTCTTCAGGACGCAGGGGGCAGTGTTACGTTTTCAGTAAACACACATATCTTCCCTTCTGCTGTCTCCCTCTTGAGATGTGTTATTAATCTTTCAGGAGCCAGAGGATGAAGCCTTTCTTGCCATCACTAAAGCCATGGAAGAGATGGTGGAGGATAGCGTCGACTGTTACTGGATCACCCGATGCTTCGTGAAGCAGTTTCATAGCAAGTTCCGGGATTCCTTACCTCAGCTGGTAAGGGGTTTTTGAATGGGAGGGTTATTGGGAATAAGCAGTGTCAGGGACACTCTCAGCCTAGTCGCTGCTGCTACTGCAATGGGTGGACCCTCTATAGTGACTTCTGGCAGATGTTTTCCATAAAGGCCAGAAGTGCTTCCCATGGGATGGGCCCTATGTCTCCTTTGCAGCCATTCAGAGCTGCAGTTGGAGCACTGCCTGGTCTCTGGGCGTGAGCTCACTTGCAGCCTCACTGGCTCGAGAGTCCTGACCCTGGTCCAGACCCACTGGCTTATCTAGCATGGTCCCTCTGTTAGGTAGGGGTCTTGTCTGCCGAAGTGATAGCAGCTTGCTTCTTCCCACATAGCACCCAGTCCAGAGCTAGGGCAGTCGGAGCTGGTGGATGGGACTCCAGGCTCCTGTCATTTGGTCCCGGCATGCACATATCTACACACATATGCATATGACACATGAAATGCCTTACTTCACACATGGGCCCTACCGTCTTTTGTTTGTTTGTAACTCAGTATTTGGAGAATTTTCTAGGCTCATTGAGATAAACCAGTGACTTTCAGTTCTGACTTCTTGTCAGTATGTGAGAGATTTGAAAATTTTCTTGACACCTTTCCTCCTCCACCAGACCAATTAAATCAGAGTCTCTCATTGGGGTCTAGAATGCTAATGTTTCAAAGCCTTAGGCAGTTCTGATTGTAGCTAGGATTGACAGCCTCTCATTTAGAATGGCTTTTCCTACATAATTTACTCAGTGTTTCCTCTTAGGAATTTTCTGTAATTAAGTCTAATAGCCCACACTGACAATAAACACACCCTTGCTTGTGTGTGTGTGTGTGTGTGTGTGTGTATCTCCTAGGTAGGTACTATAAAACAATGCTTGTAGCATGAATAAATAATAGGACCCAGAGACTGATACTGGGGTTCAAACTTCAAGCTGAAGATCAGAAAAGCAAAGTAGTGGGCCACTAGCTCTTATTGCTACCTCAGGCTGCATTGGCTGATCCTGCTGCCTCTCCTCAGTGTGGCTGGAGAATCCTGAGACTAACTGTCTTCCTGTCCTCAGTGTGGCTGGAGAATGAATGCCCCTCTGTGACCCTGTTCCTGTCTTAAATACCTCTCATGAGTCCTGGGATTAAAGGCATTAGTGAGCTCTGGTTCACTCTCGGGTAGCCCAGGGTGGTCTTGGACTCAGATCCATCTGCCTTTCTCCTGAGTCCTGGGATTAAAGGTGTGTGCCTGACCTCTATGGCTTGTGGCTGACTTTGCTTTCTGAATCCTCAGGCAAGCTTTAATAAAAAGTAACATGTCACCACAGATGCTGAGCATGTGGAAGGTGTCGTAGTCTGGGCAGGCAGTTCCTGAGCTTGCCTGCTTTGCACTTGGCTGCATGGCTGTCAGGCTCACGTTCTCGTCCTTCAGGCAGCGACCCTGCCTCTCATTCCATCTGACATAGCTATGAAGGCCCCTGGAATTGGTCAGCTTTACAGATATCTATTGTTTCCTAGGTTTCAGTGTGTGTGTGTGGGGGGGGTCATTAAAGGGAGTTGGTTGTCCTCTGTCTTTCTCCATTTATTCCTTTGAAATAGCTGTTCTCCTGCAAGCCCTTGTGATCTTCCTGTCTCTGCCTCTCTTAGGAGCTGGGGTTACAGGCACCCATGGGATGCCTAGCCTGTTACATGGATACTAGGACCTGAACTCTAGTCCTCATGATTATACAGCAGAAGGGCAGTTTCTCTAGCCCATACTTTTGATTTCTTCCCCTTCTCCTCCTCCTTTCCCCTCCTCCTTCCTCCTTTTTTTTTTTTTCCCCAAAGATTTACAGTGCTCTGTCTGCATGTAGCCTTCAGGCCAGAAGAGGGCACCAGATCTCATAACAGATGCCTGTGAGCCACCCTGTGGTTTCTATGAATTGAACTCAGGACTTCTGGAAGAGCAGTCAGTGCTCTTAACCTCTGAACCATCTTTCCAGCCCCTACTTTTGAGACAGGCTGTCCTATATAGCCCAGGCTAACCTCAGACACCACCGTTGTGCCTCAGAGTCTCGAATGCTGAGATTAGATGTTTGTGTCACCTCAGCCAGCTTTCCCTTTTCATCTCTTTATATCACCCAGTATTGCCATGGGCCTTTCTTTGCTTTCCATAATACCTGACTCTTGCTTTGGATTCTGCTTTAGCTGTTGGATCTGATGGGTGCAGCACCAGGGTGACAGCCATTCCATTTTGCCTGGTTATTGTCCTGTGGTGTGATCACAGAAAGAACCCTGCATGGGAAAGCCCCCAGTTCCAGTGTGGCCACCCTCGTTAGTACCGACGGAAAACTATTGTGTGGGGACTGACTTGGTGGTTCTCAGGTTCTATCTTCTAGCACTTTCTCCTACTCAGCATGTACATTTTTTCAGCATAAGTTGCAGCATGAGGTGACATTATGTCACAGGAAACGAGTAATCATGATTGCTTTGTAATCTTTAGCCCAAGGCTTTTGAACAGTACTTGAATCTGGAAGATAGTAGGCTGCTGAGTCACCTGAAGACATGTTCTGCGGTGTCCAAACTTCCTTATGATCTCTGGTTCAAAAGGTGCTTCGCAGGATGCCTGCCTGAGTCCAGTTTACAGAGGTACGTGTTTTCCCGTTGCATACAGGCAGCTTACCATTGGAAAGACTTCCTGGCCCTTATGTGATCATCCCTCTTAATTGGAACTTGCTTCGGAACAAGGTGGTTCAGTGCTCCATCCCCTAGCAGTTTCTGTAACTTAGCATGGTTCTCCTTGTTGTTGAAGACATGCCTGTGAGGCCTGTAGGCCTCTGTGTGGATGCTGTGAGGCAGTGATACCCGACAGTGTGGACCTGCGTGCTTCTGTTCTAGACAGGTGTTGGCTCCTGACAGACAGACACCTTTGTATTTATTAGACATTTCATGACACACTCAAAAGAGCTGAAGGCAGTCGGTGAAAAACTTTGCTTCCCCAGTCACTTTGAGACACGTGTTAAGGATATTTCTTAGTCCCAGCCCCACAACCCAGGTCTTTGTGGTGGTGTTTTGAAGAAAGGAAGTCAGTATATAGAGAGCATTAAAAGAAAATGTGTAACTTAGCAACCAGAGTCTAATACAACTTCAAGAGTTATAGGAATTATCAAATGATTATTTTAGAGTAACAGTAATCAAGGATCTACCTGTTCCTGGGTCTTGGGAAGGGCTCAGTGGGTAGGTACAGTTATTTTCTGTATAAACATGAAGACCTGAGTTTGGATCCTCTGCACCCCTGTATAAAGCCAGGTGTGACGGCGTGTCTGTAAACCTAGCACTGGCAGGGGTGTCTGTGGAGACAGGCAGGTCTTTGGTGCTCATAGACAGCCAGCCTAGCCAGTGAGGTCCAGTGACAGCATGGGGTTCAGTGAGAGACTGTCAGAAAAAATAAAGTGGAACACAGTAGGAGTTGTTACCCTGCATCAACTCAAGCCTCTGTAAGCATTTACACGTGTGTTCATGTGTACCTGCCCATGGGCATGTCACACACACTCATAAAGAGCCCTTGGATGTGTTTAGAGAAGCTATTCCAGCTCACTGGCAATGAAATGACTCTGCCTGACACTTTGTTGTCCTGTGGTGTGTAGAAACCATGCTGACATTACATGACTGCAGCAGGATACACACCCTGGTTTAGGACTTCCTTTTCCTTCAATATCAAGTCTCAGCAGACATTTGGAACATTCAGGCACAGCAGTAACCTTAAGTTAGCTTCATTTTCCCATCTAAAGCTACCCTATCTAGAATCTTCTCAGAGGCTCATTTGTCATGTTGTTGATACTGATTAGTTTACAGTTGTTCTCTGAGACAGGGACTCAAAATGAGTGGGCTTTGATCTTTACAATCTGAGATGTCTGGGCAACATCAGTTTTACTCTCCTGTAATTTGGTGATTTCTCTATTTTGTAGGGTCTGGGATAAAGTTGTCAGTGGATCCTGTAAGATCCTAGTGTTTGTAGCAGTAGAAATATTATTAACCTTTAAAATAAAAGTCATGGCATTGAACAGTGTGGAGAAGATAACAGAGTTCCTGGAAAACGTGAGTGCTTTGTCTCCTTAGATTTGGGTTCTGGAAATGGAGGCAGTTTGGCAAGTCAGATTTTCTTATTGTGTTACATTAATAGCATATTTTTACTCTACAAAAGCATGTTGTTGGTTTGAGATTGTGACTTATGCTATAACTCATGCTGGCCTGGAACTCTCTATTTATATACCCCAAGCTGCCTCCAGTTCTTGGTAATCTTCCTTCCTGTCCCCCCATGCTTCCTGGGTACTGGGATTACAGTCAAGCACCCCACTCCTGGCAGAAAAAAAGTTGCTTTTCCTTAGCATCATTCTATCTCCCTGTCTCTTTTGGGGATTGGTCGTCACAGCAAGCCCCTTCCTTACTCTACTCCTGGGGTGGGTGTGGTGGTGCAGTCTCCTCCCCAGTGAGCACAGCAGGAACAGAGGTAGTGTGAGTGAGCACTGTTGGGGGTTCTCTAGGCCTTTTCCTGTTGCTGGTGTAATCCCAGCTGGGTTGGTTAATGCACTGAAGCATTATGTTAGTGCATGCTGAAAAAGGCCACAGTCAGTCAGGTCCTCTCTTATCTGAGAACATTCTCTCCTGGGTAAATAGTAAAGGGATTGTACCTGCATGGAGTACCACATGGAGCAGACTCAGAATTCCCCCCCTTAATTTACCAGCTTTAACACGTGAAGTGTAGGTAAGTGAATGTGTGTGTGTTCATTAAGTGAATCATCATTATTCTGCTAATTAGTGGCCAACAGTGTCAGGCATGTGCCATGCAAGAGCTATCCTCTGTCATCCTGTGAACAGCTAGTGGCTTTGGGATGCCGTTCCCCTGTTTAGAGATCAGTGCTGAACCTTAGGCAGCCTAGTACTTGTCCGGGGTAGGTGGTGAGTGGGCGGTGAAGGATTGCCTGGTACCAGGGCTACTCAGTCTGTCCCCAGGAGCATTAAATCATCTGCTATCACCTTTCAAAACACAGAGACAGCTCCCTCCATGGAAACAGGTCTGCCACAGAATGAGAGAAGATCCTGAAGGAGCAAACACAGAAATCTCACTTGGATTCCTTTGTTCTTCACAGATTCCTCAGGACAGCTCAGACGCTATTGTCAGCAAGGCCATCGACTTGTGGCACAAACACTGTGGGACCCCCGTCCACTCAGCCTGACAGCTTGTGACTTCGTGGACAGTCTGCAGGCGCTCCCTGAGCACTCTGTCCATGCCACTCGGTCACTGACTGTTTGGAAATGGGAATCTTGCTGTGGTGCTCAAAGTGCAACCCCCACCCCACTCAGTGAAATAATTCAGTCGCAGTGCCTGGGGCAGCCATGCTGTGAAGCAGCTTCTCTTGGTGACACTGACACAGCTCTGGGATGGTGTTTAAAGGGTGGTCAGGAAGTCCTCCAGGTTCTTAGGCAGCTCAGCTTAGGTGCAGCCTGCATATGCTAATGTAAGGTACAGGCGAAGCCCTGCCTCCCTCTAATGAGCACCAGGCACAGGTACCTAGAAAGGCCTCTTTCTGGAAAAAGAACTCTTTCCTCTCATCCTCTCTTCCCCTCCCCTCTTCTCCCCTCTCCTCTCCTCTCCTTCCCTCCCTTCCCCTCTCTTCCTCTCTGTCTCTCTCTGTCTCTCTCTCTCTCTCTTTTCTTTTTGTTTGTTTTTTGAGACAGAATTTTTCTCTGTAACAGCTGTGTCTGTCCTGGAACTCTCTCTGTAGACCAGGCTGGACTTGAACTCACAGAAATCCCTTGCCTCTGCCTACCAAGTTCTGGGATTAAAAGTTTGTGCCACCACCACCTGGCAAATATTTTTTTGTTGTTTTTTTGAGACAGGGTTTCTTTGTGTAGCCTGGGTTGGTCTTGAACTCACAGAGATCCTCCTTTCTCTGCCTCTTGAGTGCTGGGATTTTAAGTGTACACCAGCACTGCCCAGCTACACTTCCTGTCATCTCTCTTTTCTTGGCACCTGAGATTTGGCTTTTGCCTTCCGTTGACCTAGAATGTGTGTAAGTGTGAGTCGACTGCTTTCTCATGTTCTGTCTTGCTAACCTGGCTTAAAAACAGTCCTTGCATTTTCTTATGTGTTCCCTGCTTTGTTTGCCAGCTGGAATGAAATCTTTTCTTTTTTAGACAAGGCCTTATTCTGTACTTTGCTTTCTGGAACTCATGCAGCTGGCCTTGAACTCCTGGCAGTCCTCCTGCCTCAGCCTCCTGAGTGCTGGGATTACTGGCATGAATCTCTTATTGAATAAAACACGGCTAAATTTACCTTCTAGGAGAGATCACTTGCTTGATATTTGCTTGTTTTCTAAAAATCATTAAATGTCAGGTGACATTCTGCCCCAGGAGTAGGAGAACTGGTAGACTAAGGTTAACAGCTGATGATCCTTGGCCATATTCTGTCACATAATGGTCACCCTTCGTGAAGCATTTGATGACTTTGAGACTGGTGAATGACATGGGGTCATTCCCTCTTAGTCAGCTCACGGTCCTGCAACAGTGTGGGGAGTAAATCTTTGCACCATCCTCCTCCTACATAGTGAGGGGGGTGATGATGAAATTATGGAGTTATACTCTGAGACTCCAGTCCCTCCCTAGTGTGTGAAACCACTGCTGACAAAGGATTGAGAAGAAATGGAGCCACTGAAAGCAGCTGTCAGTCTATAGAGCACCCGACAAAGGGGGTCTTTTGGAATGGATTAGGAACTCCACTCAGAAGCCCCTCCTAATACAGATGGCCATTTGCAGTGAGTATTTTAAATGGTTCTCTGCCAACCATTTATTTAGTAGCCACTTCAGTAACCTGAAGCATGTTGGGCACATAGGGAAAAAAACACATGCAGAGGAAACTCGGCCCTAATCGCTTGCTTCCTAGTGATTATAGAGAATATGTGAAATTCATAGAGATATGATAAAGAAATTGGGTTCTCTCTCTTTCTCTCCCTCTCTCTGTGTGTGTGTAGGTATATATGTGGAATATGTATTTGTGAATGTGTATTTTAAGGGGGGCTGGTGTATACACACATTATTATATCCAGTTTACATGAAATCTGGGGATTTGAACTCAGGTCTTCGTGCTTGCAAGGCAAATGCTATACCCACTAAGCCATTTCCCCATTCCTTACATATATTTGTAAGTTGACACACAATACTCATACATGTTTGTGGGATGTGGCCAAACATTTCAGTATGTGATAACTGTATGAGGGTCATTGGCATATTTATTATCTTAGACATTTATAATTTCTTGGTGTTGGAGACATTCTGAGTCCTCTTTACCATTTTGAAATGTTTACTTGTGGATTATAATTATCTTGATGTGCTATAGATGAGTAGAATCGATCCCTCTTAACCAGTGTCACCTGGTACCTATCCTCGCACCCTTGCCTACTTGGTGTCATTTCCATGTCATTACCAAGACCAAGCTCCTTAAAGCCAGGGCTGTGCCCAGCACCCTTTCATCCAGTGTAGGTCCCAGACGTGGTCTCTCCCCAGTGCCCACTTTGGGCACACTGCCTAGAGCCGTGGCCCTCCACCCCAGCAGGGTCCTTGTCTGTGAGGCTCAGGCCAGGTGTTTGGTGGGGGAGCCGAATGCTTTTGTCTCAGGCCCTCAGAGACAGCACATTTCTGCAGTACATCTTCAGCCTCTGGATCCAGTCCCTCAGAGACAGCGCATTTCTGCAGTACATCTTCAGCCTCTGGATCCAGTCCCTCAGAGACAGCGCATTTCTGCAGTACATCTTCAGCCTCTGGATCCAGTCCCTCAGAGACAGCACATTTCTGCAGTACATCTTCAGCCTCTGGATCCAGTCCCTCAGAGACAGTGCATCTCTGCAGTACATCTTCAGCCTCTGGATCCAGTCCCTCAGAGACAGCACATTTCTGCAGTACATCTTCAGCCTCTGGATCCAGTCCTCAGAGACAGCGCATTTCTGCAGTACATCTTCAGCCTCTGGATCCAGTCCCTCAGAGACAGCACATTTCTGCAGTACATCTTCAGCCTCTGGATCCAGCCCTCAGAGACAGCGCATTTCTGCAGTACATCTTCAGCCTCTGGATCCAGCCCTCAGAGACAGCGCATTTCTGCAGTACATCTTCAGCCTCTGGATCCAGCCCTCAGAGACAGCGCATTTCTGCAGTACATCTTCAGCCTCTGGATCCAGTCCCTCAGAGACAGCGCATCTCTGCAGTGCATCTTCAGCCTCTGGATCCAGTCCCTCAGAGACAGCGCATTTCTGCAGTACATCTTCAGCCTCTGGATCCAGTCCCTCAGAGACAGCGCATTTCTGCAGTGCATCTTCAGCCTCTGGATCCAGTCCCTCAGAGACAGCACATTTCTGCAGTACATCTTCAGCCTCTGGATCCAGTCCCTCAGAGACAGCGCATTTCTGCAGTACATCTTCAGCCTCTGGATCCAGTCCCTCAGAGACAGCGCATCTCTGCAGTGCATCTTCAGCCTCTGGATCCAGTCCCTCAGAGACAGCGCATCTCTGCAGTACATCTTCAGCCTCTGGATCCAGTCCCTCAGAGACAGCGCATTTCTGCAGTGCATCTTCAGCCTCTGGATCCAGTCCCTCAGAGACAGCGCATTTCTGCAGTACATCTTCAGCCTCTGGATCCAGTCCCTCAGAGACAGCGCATTTCTGCAGTACATCTTCAGCCTCTGGATCCAGTCCCTCAGAGACAGCGCATTTCTGCAGTGCATCTTCAGCCTCTGGATCCAGTCCCTCAGAGACAGCGCATTTCTGCAGTGCATCTTCAGCCTCTGGATCCAGTCCCTTGGCTGGCTTTTTAAATCTCTAGGTCAGGTTCAGTCATGGACCAATCAGTAACCTGGGGTAACTCATGGCTTCTGGGAGCCTGCGTCAGCACAGAGGGCCATGCTCCTTGTGACAAGGCCACCTCAGGAGCCCTGCCCTCCAGTCAGCACCTGTGCTCATCAGATGCCTGCCTTTCGGGACTCGGGTCAGGACACCTCCTGCTCAGCTGCGTCTGAGTGACTTGCTTGTTCTGCATCATTTATTCGTAATTTCCGTCAACTACTGTAGGGGGACAGCCGGCCTCTCATGGGGTGGGAGGTAGTGGGGGGTGCACAGAAGGGTACTCTTGGCACACCATCTCCATGGCTGGGTGTTTCCTGGGAACATTCAGACCAAGCCTAGTTCATTCCACAAGTCTGCCGAAAGTTGGCCTTGCCTGGCTCCCTCCTGGGAGGTGGGAGATTGGAGGCCAGTACAGGCAGTGTTGTTTCTGATTGCCTGGGGGTAGGGGTGGGGTGGGGTGGCTTCCCCAGGGTGTCCAACATCTGGGGCTGTAGATCTGAACTGGGGCTGCCAGACCATATGACAGTTGAGTGAACCTGAGTCAAAGCAATTAGACTTTGCTGCTGCTACAGCTGACAGATCATAAGATTACAGGGAAGGCTTGCCTAGGCTTGAGGAATGCCAGAAACCGAGGGAGTCTGCAAAGGGAGGCTGCTGGCTGACCAGTGAGGAGATAAGAGAAGGGAAGTTCCGGGTGCATGGGTGCACAGCAGGCGAGGGAGGTCACCACTGTTAGATGAGTTGGCTAGACCCTGTGTTCCTGCTGGAAGGCAGAAGACACTCACTATCCCTCTTTTTCTGAGTCCAGAATTCCTGTGGCTGGGAGATATAGTTCAGTGGTATAGCACTGCTTAGGACCCACAATCACTGGCTTAGTCCTTAGCACCATAAAAAGTGCTCGGGGCAGGGTGTGAAGGGGTATGTGGGATGCCTCAGTTGGTAAAGTGCTCGATCTAGCACAAGGACCTGAACTCAAATTAAAAACAGTTGGGCAAGCCGGCAGTGGTGGCACACACCTCTAATCCCAGCGTTTTGGAGGCAGAGACAGGCAGAACTCTGTGAGTTTAAGGCCAGCTTGGACTACAGAGTTAGTTCTAGGTCAGCCAGGACCACACAATGAAACCCTGTTTTGAAAAACAGATGAAAAAACGGTTGGGTGTGGTGGTAGTGTGCACTTGCAATCCCAGGGTTGTGGAGTGAGAGACAGGAGGATTCCTGGGACAAACTGACCAGTCAGTCTACCTTACATGAAGAGTTCCAGGCCAGTGAAAACCTGTCTCCAAAAGAAAGGTGGATTGTGAATTCATAGAGACTGTGGTAGCATGCGCAGGCCTGTACAGGTTCAATTCAGATGGGGTCCCAGTGCTGAGAAAGGGCATTCTTTTGTCTTATTGGTCTTTTATTTGTACATTATAGTTCTGGGGTTGTGTGTGTGTGTGTGTGTGTGTGTGTGTGTGTGTGTGTGTGTGTGTGTGTTTCTTTTGGTTTTGTGTGTGTGTTTCTTTTCTAAAGAGAGAAAGAAAGGATGGGGAGAATCTGGGGGAGTTGGAGGTGGATAGAAAGTGTGATCAGAATATTTTATATGAAAAAAATTAGTTAAAAATAAAAGATTAACTCCCACCCCCAAAAGAAAAAACAAGGTGAATAATGCCTGAGACACGACAATGGAGGTATCTAGCATCCAAGTACATGCACACACACAAACAACATAGAAATACATAGAAATATCACACACACACCCCCCACACACACGGGGGGGGGGGCAGAGAGAGAGAGAGAGAGAGAGAGAGAGAGAGAGAGAGAGAGAGAGAGAGAGAGAGAGATGTCTTATCAGGA